CCTTACATTCCCCTGGCTGCATGCAAACTTTAACTTCTTTGCTTTGACATGCCCTCCAACATTCCTGGAGCTGCAAAAGCCATGCAGAGGTGAGTCTTCATTCCCCAGGTAGAACTCTTGTCCATGACATTACACATATCTGAACAGGTCACTTCACTCCTGGGGCCAAGACGACTTTTAAGTGTAGAACACTGTCTCAGACAGTTGCTCCCTACCCTGCTTCCGTTGCACACTGCCAGAAAAGTAGTCTGTCTAAACTGGGAGAAGCTATTGGGATAACTGTGACCTCTCTATGGGTTTCAGAGAATTTAGGCTGTCAGTTCCCTCATTTCCCCCGACATTCCTTGTTGGTGGAGGGATCCTAGATAGGGGAATTTCACAAAATGTGCTCGAGGCTGCGGGTAAAATCAGAGCGGAGGTAATCAGCTCACCTCTGCAAGACTTCCAGCTCCAGCCTGTTCTGCAACTCAATCACTAGCACACAGCTAACCAAATCACCGCCTGGGGCCCGGGGTCTCCCGTAATGTGGCTCATGGGCCTCATTTGCAATCACCGTTAACCAGAAAGGCTGCACAGCTGTTTGGGGCCCATAGTGTCATATGTTTGCAGAAACCAAGGGGCTGAAAGAGGATAAGCCTTTGGTATCAAAGTGGAAGTGGCTAGACTTTCGGCCTCCCTCTCCCCGCCCCCCCCCCCGCCCCCGCCCCGCCCCTAATTTCTCAGACCTTAACAAGCGGTGGGATGGCTCCAAACTGGGAAGAGAATGCGGGGAAATGTTAGAAAGACTGAGAACAGGGCCCTCTGACGTGGGTAAGAACTGGATAACCCCACATACCAGCTCTTCAATAGTCTTGCTGCAAAGCTGTGAACCGCTTTAAAGTGGGCATTCACGCTGAACGCTCCAAAGGCTGTCCCTCAGTCTCAGGTCTTCTGGACTCATCCCAACCCCCCATGCGCAGGGTCGAAAAGCCCCGGGCAGTTCAGGGTTTCCAACATCAGCTTACACAGCAGGGGCAGAAGGCATATTTGACTTTGCCAGTCTCACATCTCCCCTTCCTCATCTCTCCTTAGAGGACCTCGCCTCTCCTCTCCCTTTTCTCCAGCCACATCTTCTTCCTCCTCAACTCCTCCTCCCCACTGCCATTGCACATATGGTCATCCACACAAGAATGAAAGTCGCATCGATGCTGCAAGGAATGGCACTAGAACACCCCAGTTTCAGATTTTGCATCTGCCGGGCACTTGAAGCAAAACCACCATTGTCCTCTGTGTGTGTGTGTGTGTGTGTGTGTAAGGAGATATAAGAAAGATGAATTGCTGGGACCTGGCTGAGAGGCAGGGAGGTGGGGTACTAATGTCCTTGGGCCCAATGCAAAGGAGGGCACTGGGTGGCAGCATCAGACAGAGCCTTTCGGAAGTTTGCCAGAAAGTTCTTTTTTTTAAGAACTCATTTATCAAAGCTGTAGTTAAAGGGGAGGAAGTCACCCAGGTGCCCCAAATCACTGTGGCTTGGGAAGGGCTAAGGACTGGGATGAGAGGGGCTCTGGGGAGCCTGAAGAACCTTCCCTGGAAAACCCTGGCTACAGGAATGGCTGCCACACCCTGCAAAGGGTGTGTCTACAGACATTGCAGAGGGCAGAGCTGCCTTGGTGGCTAGGCCATTGGAGAGGAACCAGGAGAGAAAAATCACTTAGCCTGCAAAGGGGCAGCAGACACAAGGGGTCTGATGAGAGGCAGCCTGGGGATGAGTAGCACCTGGAGACCTCTAGCCTGAATGCTGGCTCCCGAGGAATAATTTTCATGGGATGCAAAGGAAAACCGGAGAGGGGCACCATTTGGATTCCTGCTCTAGGCAAAGTGTTACAAATACAAGCAGAGACAGACAGACCAGGGGAATGGGGAGTGAGTGCTCTTTCACCCGTTTCTAGGCCATTTCTAGGCCGGTACTTAAAGCCCAGCCAGTCATTCTAAAGGATCCTTTAGAAAGCCTCTGGCTATCACGGCTTTAACCAGAGGGCCTGCAGTCCCTGGAAGGCCCTGCCTTCCACTTAGGAGGAAAGGCACCAGCTTGAAGGAACCCAGGTCAGTAAGACCGCTAGGGAAGGTGACCTGTAGAAGCATAGCAGACACAGGATTTTCTCTGCTCAGCTAGTGAATTAGAACTCAGCCCTTCCCTTGGAATGCCGTTAGAGTCTCAAGAAAGCCTGAGAGTGTCCCCACACAGCTCCCTTGGTAGCTCCAGGCAGCCCAGCCATAGAACAGTGGCCTCAGTCAAGCACCACGGATCAATAGTTATTCTCGGTTAACATTGCCATAGCTTTTTTTTTTTTTAACTCTCAAAAGAAAGGGAGCCCCTCCCCCCCATAGATCACAGCTTATTATAGCAAAGGCATACTTTATGTGGTCTATTTACGGACCGCATAACGTTGAGGAAGAGAACTCTTTGGAGTTTGTATGCTCTTCTTAGTCTGACCAGCAGGCCAGTGGTGCTTACAGATACCTGTTCTTATAAATAAATTAATTAACTAATTAATTACTTGAAACATTTAAAAGGCCTGCAGCTGTCTGCTAGCTGCAGGTTGAGAGTTGGGTTTGCTCATCTTCCATCACCTGGGCTCTGGATGAGCACAAGTGGTTGGAGATCTCACAGCGCAGTTTGCCTGCTGGACCGGTCCCTCTGGCCACAGTGGCCCTCCTCGTGTGGTGTGCCTGGACTCAAGTGCTGCCACACACAAAGCACTATGAGCTTACTTGCAGTGAGCTCTAATGAGTAGAGTCCCGAAGGGGATATTAATGGGAAATGAAAAGCCAAACGAACATTTATAGGAAAAACTGAGCCATGAAGAAAAAAAAAAAATCACTCCTCAAAAGCACATGGCATCTATTTTTTTCTGTCCCTGCATACACAATCTTAAGTTGCCTTAAAGCTTTCAGTGATACTCTTTTAAGAGCCTATAAATTTCATGCAAGAATGTGTGTGTATGTGTGTGTGTGTTTAAAGAGGAGATTGTTGCAAACACATTCATCATTCAACACTACAATCCCCCAACCCCCCCCCCCCACACTATCTTTTAGCAGCTTCAGAAAGCAGTGGAGGAGCCAGGACAGTTATTTCTGTTTGCCTTGAAGACGAGGAAGGGATGGCTCAGAAAGGTTGAGTCATTCAAAAAAAAAAAAAATCACACAGCTGCCCAAAGCTGACTCTGGGCCCACGGGTTGGGGCAGCAAGACTGTGGCAATCAACAAGCAGTCATCGTGGACAAAGATGCAAGGATGAATTCTCCTTGCCCCCCAGCAAGCTCTAAGCCCCCCTTCCCCATCATTGGGAGCAGTCAGTGAACCATATAAATTCAAACTTTAGAACTGCTACGTCTCGTGATTTAAAAGGCATTAAAATGCAAAACAGGAGTAAACAACATTTCTTGCCACAGGGAAGTAACTAATTTAAGTTGACAAAATAATGGGATTGGAGTAAGGTCTCCAAAGTGGCCACGAAATGGAGTTCAAGAGTATTTTTTAATATGGATACTATGCCTTGCCAAGGATGACTGGAAGAGAATTCTCATTTATAAAACCAAGCCATAAAGGGGAAAGAAAAACAGAAAAACAAAACAAAAAACCCCACTGTACAGGAGGAAAGCAGGGATGAGGGAGTGCACACAGGAATGCTTCAGGGAGACTCATGGATTCGTCACAGCCTGGGTACCACAGAAAGCCAGGTGCAGTCTCAGTATGGTCCAGGTCCCCTCCATCACATCGCCCCCAGGAATATGGCCTGAGAGGCTCCAGGAACGGAGGTGGGGACCACTTGTGAGCGCTGATCTGCAGCAAGAGGGCTGAGGACCCTCTGCTCTCCAGAGTTCATCCTCACAAGATCACTCAACACTGCCCAACCACAGTGATCAGAGTTACAGACTTGGTCTCCTGCAGGCAGTCCCAGACTCTGCTGCAGACACAGCCCCTCCCCCTGTCCCTCTGCCCCCCAGTACAGTGAAGACAGTGAAGCAACCTCCTAAGGAGTCCTGAATTTCATTTTATTTTCCGACCATTCCACCTTTGGGGAGTTTAGCTGTGTCCTCCCAGCATGCCCCTTAGCCCATTCCCAGTCTTCCCCACATCCTTAGGCTGTTGGGTCTTCATTAATTCCCCATCTGGACTGTGACATGTAGAGGTCCTTCTAGCCCTGCATCTTGGTTTAGAACCCCGGCATGAAGGGATGGATTTACATAGAGGCAGAACCAAGCTAGCAAGGAGGCAGCCACCCGCAACTGGGAAGCCAGCCGCCTGCAGGCTCCAGGCAGCTTCTGCAGCTGCTAGCTGGTTTATTATTACACAATTGAAGCGAAGCCCTTCTTCCACTGCTGTCCTCAGGGAAGGCTAGCTGGCAGGAGGGAAAGGAGCTCACTCCTGCCAGCAACAGCAACAGCAACACACACACACACACACACACACACACACACACACACACACACACACACACACACACACCACTTTCCACAGTTTGAGTACTGGCAAACTCTTGCAGAAACGGCCCTTTGCCAGCTCCCAGCTCCTTTCTCTAAGCTCCCCTGTTCGGTAGCTACTTCCCTATGTCCAAATTCTTACACTGACCGGCAGGACAGATGGTAATTTGAATAACTTTCCAGATCTTTTCTCCTGGGCACTGGCCCACAAATGTTTGGGAGGGATGTAAGGACACCTCTACTGGACTCTTCCCATCACCCTCCTTTCTGCTGCCCCCACACCCTGCTCCGAGGACAGTGTGGCGGAAGACACTACATGCCGGCTCCACTGTTGCTTGCCAGTCCAGGCAACACCATGTAGTCTCTGTAAAAGCACCACCCAGAGAGCGAGAATGAGCCCCGGCAAGCAAACAGCTCCAGAGCGTCATGATGCTAGCACCAGCAAACTGTTTGCATGAGCTCCGGGATACATGTCTCCTGAGAAAAGAATGGAGCCCCCATGGAGATGGCTATAAAGCATAAGAGGAAGCGACTCACCTTTAGGTTGTGCGTGGGGTTGACCACACAGACAAGTTGCCCAGCAGCAGAGAAAACCCGTTTAGCCTTGTAGTGCTGAAACCGGAGGTGAATGAGATCCAACACAGCCCCAAAGCACTGGGTAAAGAAAAGCATCACAACTTTTGGGGGATTGTTGGCACAGGAAGGCAGCGGAGGAAGCTGTAAGTCCTTGGGCTCAGAACCCAGCACAGCCTGAAACACTCTGCTCCAGCCCGGCTTAGCGCGCCTTCATATTCATCATCAAAATAAGACGGTTAGAATCTTGCAGCAGCGAAGCAGCCAATCAAAAGGACAGAAATGTTATCCTTGAGGTGCAGAGACAGCCAATAACAAATACCTCCCCTACTGAAACTCCCTGATGAATTGAGCCTGGCGGAGAATGTATTATTGAACATTACCATAGATCAGCACATTGCATTTATCTTGTGATTACAGCCAACCATACATAATGCTGGGGAGATAGGCTGACAAAATTGATTGCTTAATGTGTCTCCATTTATTAATTGACTTAATTTAACATGAGAGCCTTTCTTAGTGCCCTGAACAACACCCTACCACCACCAAAAGAAAAAAAAAAAAAAAAAAAAAAGTAAAACATTTAAACCTCCAAACGGAGAGCATTGTGCTCCAACAGGCAGATGGGTTAGGCAGCTTGCAGCTCTACTCACCAGAGCTGCCGAGAGAAAATCAAATACTACAAGACACTGATTCTAGATATGGATTTGGCAGCTGCAGAAATGTGTGTCTTTCAATCTTGGGCTCTGACTCTCTGCAATTTGGATTGTAGCCCCTTGGTAATCTAACTCACCACTCTTCATGCAAACACACACACACACACACACACACAAAACAACACCAACAAAAACCTGACAAATGAATTTTAAATTGAGGAGGGAAATTCTCATATATATATATATATATGAGATATATATCTCAAAATACAGTAATCACTGAACTCTCCTTTATTAAAGCATAAAGATGCACAGAGCTTGCTTCTAAAAATAATGAAATCCCCAATGCATGAACACACACACACACAAACACACACACACACACACACACACACACACAGAGAGAGAGAGAGAGAGAGAGAGAGAGAGAGAAACTACTCAGGGAGGAAAGTGGCTTAATTACAGATGCAAAGAACCTGCGCCTGTCACTCATTTGCATATTGGTGAGCAGCAAATTGCTAATTAACCAGTAGATTGTTGGAGATGTTAAAACACAGATTAGGGACACATGCCACACAGCACTTACTTGTTTGTGTGAATGCCAGCAGCATATTGCTGTGCTGGAATGGGCAGGGATGGGTCCAGTCCTTAGCTGCAACAGAGCACTGGTCACCCCATGCCCAAGGTGGCCTGTGGGGCCTCTGGGCCATTGTTTCCTGGAGGAGGGCTCCTGAGCAGTCCATGGAGGCCTTTGGGCTTTCTGGGAATAAGCTCCGTGGTTGTTTTAGTCTCTGCCATAGAAACCCAAGAATTGGGAGTACTGGATTTTCATTCTTTGGCTCTTTTTGCACTGAGTGATCAGGACCGGCCTTGGAATGAGCTTCAGCCATTGGTTTGAGGCTGTGGTTCCTTCCTGGACCCTCACCGCATTACCCCAGGATAGCTACCAGCACAGTCAGCAGCATGGAAAACTTGCTTGAAACAATATGAGATTAAAAACAAAACAAAGCTCTACTGCACGGTTCACAGTATGAACTCTGTAGGTGACATCTGTCTCCATGGCAAAGGGCTAGATGTTCTGGGGTCACAGGACCTAGGTTGCAATAGATGCCAACTCTATGACCCCAGGACACTTAAGCTGTGACCCAGTCAGGCACTTAAGATAAGAACAGACCAAAACACAGAAGAGCCCCAGTTCATTTTAACTTGATTTTAAAACCAAATCAATGTCTAAAGCACTGGTTCTCAACCTTCCTAATGTCGTGACCCTTTCTTTAATACAGTTCCTCATGTTGCAGTGACCCCAAAGCATAAAATAATTTAGTTGCTACTTTATAACTATAATTTTGCTACTTTTTTTTTTTTTTTGGTAATGTAAGCACCTCTGTTTTCTGATGATCTTAGGCGATCCCTGTGAAAGAGTCTTTCAACCCCAAAGGGTTGCGACCCACATGTTGAGAACCATTGATCTGAAGGAACAAATTGAATAACAAATAAAATTAGGAGGTTAATGTTTGTGCCTTGGCAGTGAATACACCAGCGAAAACATATGACAGTGTTTGAACCAAGTAACCCTGAGTCAATATACTCTAAAAACAGGGAGTGCGTTCCTGGGCCTGCAACCTGGGCTCTCGCGTGCTTTCTGTTTTGCTGTGGTGAATATATGACCAAAGGCAACTTGAGGACGAAAGAGTTCGTTTGGTTTATACTTCCAGGTCACACTCCGTCACTGAGAGAGGTCAAGGCAGGAACCTGGAGGCAGGAACTGAAGCAGAGGCCATGGAAAACACTGGTTCTCTATAGCTTGCTCAGCCTGTTTTTATATAACTCAGGACACCCAGCCCAGTGATGGCACTGCCCACAATGGGGCTGAGCCCTCCCACATCAATCATTAACCAAGAAATGTCCCACAGGTTTTTCTACAGGCAACCCCTCAATTAAGGTTCCCTCTCCCCAGACGACTCCAGTTTGTGTCCAATTCACAAAAAACTAACCAGTATAGGTTTCTTGAAAAAGTGTAGTTTATAGTCTGATTTTATAAGCAAGTGTTCTTAATCTACAAAATTAGAAGTCAATATGTGTGTGTATATACATATACATACATACATACATACATACATACATATATATATATATAATTTTTAAATTTAAATTAGAAACAAGCTTGTTTTACATATCAATCCCAGTTCCCAAACCCTTCCCTCCCTCCCTGTTCCACCCACCAACCCCCTCCAAACCCCATTCTGCTCCCCAGGGAGGATGAGGCCTTCCATGGGGAGTCTTCAAAGTCTATCATACCATCTGGAGTAGGGCCCAGGCCCTCCCCGATGTGTCTAGGCTGAGAGATTATCCCTCTATGTGAAATGGGCTCCTAAAGGTCATTTGTACACTAGGGATAAATACTGACCAACTACCAGAGGCCCCATAGCCTGCCCAGTCCTCCTAACTAACACCACATTCAAGGAATCTGGGTGGATCCTTCGCTGTTTTCTCAGCTATCATACTGGTGTTTTGCAATGGGATCTCATACAGCCCAGGCTGGCCTCAAATCTTCTATGTGGCCTGAGATGACCTCCCTCTACATCGTGAATGCTGGGAGAACGGTGTGCACCACTGTGCCCACTCTGTTTTGTTTTTTTCTTCAATAAAAGTAAACGCATAGGCTGGGTGATGGTGGCACAGGCCTTCAATCCCAGCACTTGGGATGCAGAGGCAGGTGGATCTCTGTGAGTTCAAGACCAGCCTGGTCTACAGAGGGAGTTCCAGGACAGCCAGGGCTATTACACAGAGAACTACTGTCTTGAAAAAAGCAAAAAACAAACAGAAAGTGAGTATATATTCCCATGACCCCTTGCCTAAACTTTTACTTTTTGTTTTTGTTTTTTGAGACAGGGTTTCTCTGTGTAGATCTGGATGACCTGGAACTCACTCTGTAGTCCAGGCTGTCCTTGAACTCACAGAGATCTACCTCCCTCTGCCTCCCAAATGCTGGGATTAAAGGTGTAAGCCACCACTTCCAGGCCCTAAACTTCTACTTCTATGTTCTTGGTTAAATTGGAACTATTCTTTCATTTACTTTTATTTTTTGTTTGTTTGTTTATTTCATTCAGTGACAGTGGAGAGGTTTTTTTTCATTATCTTTTAAATAAAAGGTACATTTTAAATAAAATGTAAGCAAGATAAAGGCACCACCAACAGTATGAAGCCTGTGTACTTTGAGATGTAGAAAAGAATGATCCTCTTAATTTGAAATTAAATTAAAGACTATTTTAGAACAATCCTGATTCACAACAAACTTAAGGAGAAGGCACAGGGAATTCCCTAGGCCTGTGCCCTCATACTTGGATGACTCCCGCATGAACAATGCATCTACCAGAGTGAGAAAGTGCCTTTGTAACAACTGGTAAAACCCCACTCACACATACCTACAACACGGGTGTATAGCTGATGTTAGGATTCAGAGCATGTAGAGTACATCAGGAGTCTGCACATATGTATAAAGTCAGATCTGTCTCTGTCATACGAGACTCATGCTGCTCTGAAAACACAGTCCCCTTGTAACCCCCTTTTCTTCTTCCCAAAATCCTAGCACCACTGACATTTTTATTGTCACTTTTTCCTTTTCCAGAATGTTCTACTACTAGATACATGTAGCCATCCGATGTAGCAGAGGGCTGGGAGGAAGGGGGGGGGGGATGAGGCACAGCTCTAAAATCACAAAGCCCATCATCCCCAGAGAAGGCCCCCTCCCCTCCAGCCAGGCTCCACCATGTTACTAACACTTCATCGGTGCCACAGTAATCACAGTTGCCTGCATGTTAGATCAGTAAGGAGGCAAATCAAGACCTGAGTCCTACATTCTTAGTTAATATGGTCTTGGTCAAATTAGTTGATTTTTCTGATGAGTTCTATAAATGAATCTAGTCATGTCATTTAAAAAGTAAGCATAATAATAGAGGTGAAACAAATATGACCCACAGTGAGAACCTTCCCTCACCCAGTCTTCTCTCCAAAGACAACTGTGCAAATTAATACAGTTAATACAGGGCTCTGGGAAAGACATGTAACACCAAAACGTGGTGGAAAACTGCTAATCCCTACTCGAGATAGATAGATAGATAGATAGATAGATAGATAGATAGATAGATGATACACTATACATTGTAGCTAGCTAGCTACATGATAGATGATAGAATGATAGACTATAGACAGACAGACAGACAGACAGATCTCATTGGACCCAGAAATATACTCCAGTACCTAACAGAGATGTTAACCTGGGCTCCCCAAAAGATGTGTTTAAGGACTTTCATAGCAACACACCGAAGTAGCTGGAAACAGAAAGCATCTTATCAACAATAAAAAGAATAGTTTACACCATTTCTCTCTAATCAAATACTGCACACAAGATAAAAATAGAGTAAACTATTACCTATTACTGCACTGACTACAGCAATAACATGAAAGGATCTCACAGATATGATTCCGGGCTTGAAAAGTCAGACAAAAAGGAATACACACTTCATGGCTCCTTTTTTTTTTTTTTTTTTTTTCATGGCTTCTTTTATACAAACTTTTATACAAACTTCAACATTATAGAGAAGGTGAGCTGGTGAGATGGTTAAGCAGGTGAAGGCACTTGACTTAAAGGCTTGACACCTGGAGTGTGGTCCCTAGGACCCACATGGTGGAGGAGAGAACAAGCTCCTTGTGTCACACCTCTGGTGTCTTACTTCTTCTAAGCAGGCATGACACCCTAAAGCTCCCCCAGTGCTTTCCAAAGCAGCACCACCAGCTGGGACCAAG